GAGCAATTTCTTCTTCTCTTTATGCCTTTAATAATAATAATTATCTTCCCCAGCCATCCTGGTGGACTGTGTAATTTTCCATCCAACACCAAGGCTTAAAAACAAAGCAGGTGGGGAACGGGAGATGCTCAGAAAGAAGCCTTTGTGGTCCCTGGAGAAGTGCAGGAGAGGGAAGCCGTGTGTGGCTGATGCAGCTCCCCGAGAAAGGCTGTAATAAGCTAAAGGTGGGGTGCACCTCTCTGGAACCCCCGCTTGGGCCGCAGCCCTGGGCACCTCCGTTCCCCTGTCCTGGCAGGATGAGCCTAGCAGGCGCTGCTGCAGCTGCTCACCAGCGTTCATTGTTATTCAGGGCTTCGTTCTGACATGGTGAAAATATCCACGATTTGCGGGTGGGGGGAAACACACAAAACAAATGTTCCCTGGTGGCATTAGCTCACGGATCTGTGGGGGGCTGGTCCATGGACCTGAATCTCAATTGAAAGGTTTCTTGAAAAAAGGGCCCCATAGGGGATGTGCGGAGCTGAAGGGAGACAGCCTGCCTATACATTTGAAGTTATAAAATAACAAGATGGATGATACACAAACCCGAGCAGGAACCCATCGAGCACGCTCGTGATGGCAGGGCCTGTGCCTGGCTGTGTCAGCCACTCTGCCATTGCTCGCCCCTGCACGGACACATCTGTGTCGAGGAGGCATTATCACCTTTGCGAACATTTACCGGGTCACCCTGCCATGAGTCTTTCCCTTGAGCATCTTCATGCTTGAGAGGTTGCTTTACCTCCGTCTCATTTGGTCAATGAGGAAACTGAGGCCCAAGAGGGGCGTTACTTGCCCAGGTCTCGCCACTAGAAAATGGCAGGTACTAAGCCAGGGACTTCGGCTCCAGAGTCCACCTTTGGGCAGTGTCAGTGCACGGGAGTGTAGCCGGTGGCTAGAAGTATGTGCTTTACAGGTGCATGATCCAGGTGTGAACACCGGGTCAGTCGCTCATTTTCCTGATCGAGTCACAGCATTTTAAATTTTGAAAAAAATCCCTGGCCACGGTCTATTTAAACTTTAGGTACAGAAACGTGGGCGCAGAGAAGCTCCTGCCTGAGCTAGACTTTTGATGTCCCCCTGAACCCAAGCAGGACCATCCCCACCCCCAATGCAACCCACTGCACAGCAGTTTTACAACCTGACAGCCCGAAGGCCTAGGAGGGGCTGGGCTGCAGGAGACCCAGCAGGATAGGGCACTTCTTCGAGCACCCCAACTACCATTTAGGGTGCAAAGAACTTGCAATGTCTGGTATTTCCAAAAAGCCTCGAGTTCCTTCCCAGAAGGCACCTTCCCTGCATGTGAGTTAATTCCAAAAGGCTCCACTTCAATTCTTGACTTGATTAAGACTGAACAGCCAAGAAAGAAGCTTCAAATGACACTCAGCATGCAGAAGGCTACTATAAATTCCTTAAATTTTTGATCTATTTATTGAAACTATAAAAAAAGAAGCTTCTCTTTCCCTCTTTAGCATCACATGGAGATAATCATGGTAGACGCCTCTTAAGGTTGCTGGGAGCAAGAAGCAAAGTAAAGGCTCACAGCAGTATAACACTGCAATAAATGCTCAGCGTGACGCTAATGACTCGAAGACGCGTAATGTAAGAACCATTAGTATTAGCGAGCAGAGTGGACACTGAAGCAGTTAGCCAGGCACATGCAAAGTATGAATAGAAGATGCCCTTGGCTTTGGAAAGATGTGCAGAGAGAGTGCTGTGTCATATGGGTATTCTTGGAGGGGCCTAGTACCTCTGTCTTAGCCTAGAGTGGAGCTTGAGACTTTCTCCCCACCCCCTTGTTCTGCAGCGGTGGGAGCTGAACCACAGTCAGGGGAAGTCACTTGCCCAAGGTCAACAGCTCAAAGCTGCAGGGGCCAGATTTGAGCCCAGACAGTCTGGTTCCAGAGTCCAGGGTGAAGCCACACTAGCTCTCAGTCCCACGCACACGTTTATGTTTCAGGAAACAGCTGCCAGCAGTGTCACTTCCGCGATGCCTACGTACCAGCCACACACACCCTCATGTCTACCAAACGGAGTCTTTTCTCCTCTTTGTTTTCATTATTTTGTTGTCCTTGCTTTTTAGAAGGGAAAAAAAAAAATCAATCTTGTATGAAATCAAATTTCTTTGAGAATGAAACAAGATTGTCCACAACTGAAAGTGTCTAATTAGGGAATATTCATCTCCCGATGGTTCTCCACACACACCCCAGCCCCAAAATACACTAACATTTGCAAAAGAGAATTCATCTTTACCTAAAACTATAATTAAGCGGCTGCTGGTGGTTACCTTGGTGACGTTTTTTTTTTTAATCCTCCACTACAGCTCCCACACTGGATAATACAAACTCGGCAGCCAAATAAGTCAACAGGTTGTCCAGGAAACTGTTTCCTTGACAACCATGAAGCTGGCGGGGATGGAGAGTTGGGGAAATGTCAGCGCGACAGCGCTATAGTAAAGAACAAGCCCCTCCAGCGTGGCTGCGCAGCTTCCCCAACTTGTCCCCAGCTGCAGAGCAGAGAACTAAAACGCTGCCTGGCTCCATGAAGGAGGCGTAGGGAATGTCAACCTACATGGCCCTTGAGTGGCTCACCCATGGGCGTGGGGGGTACCAGTTGCTGGCAGGGACATGAAGAGGGGCTGCAGACCCCCTGACTTAGCAGGAGCCCCACCCGTTCTTCCTCTCCCCGGGAGCATTGAGTGCCGGCTAGGAGAGGCCTCCCATCTGGTCCTGCCTCTTGTCTTGGATGGTTCCCCACTTTGGAACCTTGGCCAGGGAAACCCGTAGCCTCCAGAGCATGAAGACAATGCAGGGCCATTTCGGGGGAGGTTTTTGTGTCTGGGTTTCTCCCTGTATGTTTATTTTCCTGTCCCCCATTCTCTGTGCTTGCTTCTCTGGGGGGAGGGGGAGAGGGAGCAAGTTGGGCCTTGCAGGAGGCCAGAAGCTGGTGCAGTCTGCCAGGCCAGCTCACCACCGGCTTTGCTTTTAAAGGAAGAATAAGTCTTGGGTGCGACTCAGTCAGGTGCGCTGGAGAAGCCAGAGAGGACAGGAGTGTGCCTGGGGAGCAGGAGAGGAGACCGGGAGGGTGACCCCAGGACACAGCGGGATTGCAGGACCCTGCGCTGCAGGTGGATGGGGAGTGTCAGGCCCTTGGGAGGGAAGGGTCACAGGGTCTCAGATTGACCGGCAGCGGCTGGGCAGGAAGCAGAGCCCTGGGATGGGCTAAGTGACCTGTGTCAACAGGTGACCATGGGGGCCTGGCCGGGGTGTCAAGGAGATAGGAGACCCCCAAACCTTTCTCCACCATGGTGGGGGGCAATGCAGGGAGCCCCAGGAACGACCGGAGGTGGCTTAGAGTAGATCTAAAGAAGATAAAAACACGCTCTAGTTCTTGTCCTCTGAAGTGCGAGGTCAGAGAGCAGCACTCGCCAACATAGTTGAGCGCTGCAGTTTCCAAACTACTGGAGAAGTTCCAGGGGCTGATTTCTGCAGAGAGGCAGGAGGGGGGAGAGGGCAGTAGAGGCTTCTAGGCCTGGAAACCCCAAACCTGCTTTCCCTTCCTCAAAACTCTCACCTCCTGCTGGCCCCACGGTTCTGCCTTCTGCCCGGTCCAGCGGAGCCTCCCCTCACAGGATGCTCAGATTATAAACGAGGACGCCCAGCGCCTGCTCTCACCTGCCCACCTCGAATTCACAACTGTCCCTCACTGACAGCCAAGGGGTCAGAGGCGGGGACACTCTGTGTGCCCTGCCCTCCCCCCACAAGCGGCAGAAGAATGACTCGCATCCCTATGACACTTTCCGAGCTGACAAATCCAGGGCGGCAGATGCCGATGTCACAGAGGGGAAGCCAAGGCGCGGGAAGAAGACTCGCTCGGGGCACCCAGTGCCGATTCAGCCGTGGGGCCGAGAACCAGGCCCAGCCTTCCCAGTCCGGCTCTGCCCATGTCTTCCTGTCCCCTCTGGTGACTCCTCCCTCCAGGGACACGGCTCAGCGTCTGAAGGTATTGGTTGTCATGTGAAGGGGGTGTCGTGGGTCAAGCAGAGACCAGGGATGCTGTCACCGTCGTCCGGAACCCAGGAAGCCCGCCCAACAGTCCTCAGCTGCCCCGATGCACCTGTGCCCGGGGTGGGCACGCTGCCAGCGTGGAGGACAAGGAGTTTGTACAGAAAAGCGTCTGGCCAGCACCTGCACGTGGGAGCGAGGCATGCTTCTGCTAAAGACGTTGGTGGCGATAATACCGCAGGGGGCAGTTGGTTCTTTACCATCAGGAAAGAGTAAGCCCTTGGAGCACCCTGGCTCTGAGGCTCACTGATGTAGTGAGTTTTCACGGGCGTCTGTAACGGCAGGAAGGGGGCACAGTGCAGGTGCGCTATGACCCGAGCAGACGGGTGAAGGAGGAGGCCTGGAGCCCTCAGGGGCTTTGCAGGCTTTTATTGGGATTACCAGGTACACAGCAGGCGGGGAAGCTGGGATCTTCACTCTTTCCGGGCTCTTCGGCCTTCTCTGGTGGCCATTTCTACTCTGCTCCTTTCGCGCTCATTCTCTATGCTTCTCTGCACTGCTGGCGTCCCCGTGACGCCGCCCTTATAAGCCCAGCCTTAGCCCAGGCGTACCCACTTATGCATGCTCACACCCTCCTCCAGGGGCGCACCATCAGGCATGCATTCGGGACCACAAGGATCCATCATCCATCCTAACGGCGGGAGGGCAGCAAAGCCTGATATCATTTACTTACCCTCCAACAGCCCTCCATGGAAGGACCCTGCGGCCCCAAAGGAGAGAAATGTCTTGTTGTGTGGACAAGGTCAAGCACTGCCCTTTAAGTCTCAAAGGACAACCCTGGAAATAACAACCCAGGCCACAGGGGATGAAGGTCCCAGAAGGTCTTCACCGTCTTGAGACAGGCTTCCTTTCACAGTGGGATCGATCAGAATGTGGCAGAAATTCTTTATTCCCAAATGCCAACAGGATTCACTGGAAAAAGAGAAAAAGCAGCCACTGGATGCAAATTGACCCACAGGCACCACTTGTAAAATCGAAGACTCTGGAGCCTTGGAAACAACTGAAGATCAGTTATTTGCTCAACAATCATTTCCCCTTGTGCCCACCACCAAGGAACAAAGAATAAGTCTGGAAGGTGAAGGAGATGAATGCAATTTGCATATTTAACAGCCCCAAGGAAGGTGAAACTGGCAGAACCAGAGACTGTCACGTGAGAAGTGTAATGTGGAGAGGGAGGGGGGAAGTGTGGAGAGGGCAGGAGGGGGACTGCTGGCTTCTGAAAAACAGCAGCTAAAAATACCCCTGCCACATGTCATTTACAAATTCAAAGGGCTGTTTAGACAATACTATGATCAGAACGCAATTGATCCGTATTTCCCCCCCAGTGATTAAACACAGTCTGATTTCTAAGTACCAAACAGCTGCCTGCAGGTTTGTCTGGAAAAACCACTCTCTCATTTCTATTTTTGATTGGCACAGCAGGGGGCCCCAATCACAGCTCCTTCATCCTCGTGCCTAAAATCAGATAATGTTCCACCGTGGCAGGGGCAGCCGCAAGGAGGAGGAATAAGAGAGGAGAGCGAAAGAAGCGACAATAAAAGAAACCCTCATCAGAGGCAAAGAGGGTTCTGGCACCTTCCATTTGGACTTTCTCCCAAAACCAAGAAAAACGAGGGGTGAGAGAGAAGAGATGGAAAAAATGAAATAGTCCCCTTTCACTTTGGGAGGGAAGGCAGAACAAATAGTTCAATATAACCAGGTAGAGCTTTCTAGGGACCTGGATGATGTGGTCAACAAAAGGGCGCCTGAGGACGCCCCCCGCCCCGCCCCGCCATACCTGTGAGGCCAGCTGGCTGAGCTGAAGCCCAGACAAATGTCCAGTATCTCTGAGTTTCTTTGGGATTAGAGGGGGCATCTGGTTTACTTTTTTGGGTGATGGAAATGTTCTAAAATTAGATCATGGTTTTACAGATATAGAATTATAATGCTATACACCTGAAATTTATATATACTCTAAACCAATGCTCCTGCAATAAAAGTTTATTTTAAAAAATTTGGATAATGATGCTGATTGTGCAACTCTTTGGATATGCTAAAAATTCAGTTTCATACTTTCAAAGGTGAATCTTATGCATGTAAATTAAATTCAATAAAGCTGCTATAAAAAAAGGAAAGAATAGAGAAAATCAGAAAGTTACTCTAAATAATTTTTTCCCTTTAAAAAAGGAGGGGGGAGGTTTAGACTCAAGGATTTGGACTCCAATCCCACCTCTTTACTCATAGCTATGGGACTTAGGCAGCCCCCCTGGATCTCAATGGTCCTGCCTGTAAAGTGGGACTATTGAAAGTGTACACTCCCCTCAGAAGGCTGTTGTGGTGACTGAGATGGGCCTTGGGGGAGCCAGAAGAGGCCCTGTCATTAGCCCCCATGGGAGAAGATGAATGTAAGGGGCTGGATTGGATATTGAGAGTGTGAAACATGATTCCAGCAGCAGCCCCCTGTGCAGTCTTTGGGATCCATGTCCCAGCTCTGCTGCAGGGTCCCCCAAAATTGTAAAACCTTGCCCCTCTGAAGGGTGCCGGGTGCTGTGTGCCTCTGGCCTCACTGCAGCTTGTTCCGGCCCACGAGTCTGTCCTGACCTGAGTACAGGCTATTCAAGGCTCCAGGATCATAAATGGATCAATCAGCCTTGAGCTCTCCAGCTGTCATTCAAACCTGGAGTAATTATGCAGATTGAAAATAGAAGCAAGCTGATTGGCCCTTACTTCCAATCAGATGCTTAGGATTGAAAAGTGGTCCAATCAGGCTTGTAAGGTGGGAGACCCTGAAGAGGATATAAGGCAAAGTAAGAGCCAGTTTGACAGCCTCCAAAGAAAGAAGAAGCACTCAGCAGACAACTTCCACAGAATTGAGCAGACCTCTGCAAATCCCCATAGACTTCCAGAATTCCAGATGTCCACAGAGATCAGGTTGCTGCAGCTGCCTCCAGCACTTCCTCTGACATCACCTGTGTGGAGCACCATCAGCCTCAGTGCAGTGTCTCAAAGTTCACACCAGTGCCTCACAAAAAAACTGGTGTCTGTGACAATGCCTCCTGGTGACCAGCGCCAACCAGCACTACTGATCAGTGACTGGCATTCTGTCTGGCCACCTTTGAGAGCTGTCCACCACCCCAGGTTCTCCAGTACTGCCTCCTGGTGCTATTGAATCCATGGCTGTCTAGTCATTGCTGTCCACTCTGACCTTCAGACTATTGCTGTCACATCAGCTGCCCCACCTATGAGCACCTCCAGCTGCCACTGTGAGTTGGACCCTGTTGCATTTTTGATTGGTGTGCCACCAGCTCCAGGCCCTCACTGATGGGACATCACCATGTGGCATGGTGGCCTTTGTTTGAGACTACAGGACGCTGCAGACACTATCTGGGGTAGGACAGCTGGCCACTTGTGGCCTTAGAAATTCTTTCCTTTTCCCAATCTCTTGTTTGTTAATTAAACCCTGCTGTTATTGAACACTGAGCCTAACTGGTGTCTTGCAATTGAGCACATAGGTAAGACCCCATAGACAGTTACCTGTTCCCCCCCCCCCAACCTTGGCACTGTCCTTTAGTATTGTTTTGGGTGGATCTGGACAGGACATGCGGTGAGCCAATAACAAGACTAGGTCAGCCTGTTGTATGTCTACCCCGCCCTGCACCATCAGCTGACAGCTGACATGGCAGGGGTCACAGGGAAATGGCTTCTGTGCAGTATCTCGTTTCTTCTTCAACCCCAGGAGGCAGGCACTAATGTATTCCCATTTTACAGGTGAGGAAGTAGACATAGTTTACTCGCTTGCACAAAGCCATGGAGACAGTTAGTTAGAGGCAGCGCTGGTTCCCATCCAGACGGTCTGGTCCCGGAGCTGGGCCAGGGTACGCTGGCTCTCAGCAGCTTGAGAAAGCAAGTTGTTCAACATCCAGGAATTCTGATGATTAAATACCCAAGAATTTTACAAGCAGGTTATTAAATCATTGCTGGCAACCACGGTAGAAATGAGCCTTGATGTGAGTATTTATACCAAGGAAATGTGCAACCGTTATAAATCTGGGCTCTTTCTCCTCCTGCCTTCAACCCCCACCCCCACCCACCTTGCCAGCACATCATTAGCTACCAGGTTAAGCGGGTATATTGGGTCTTCCTTCCTACACTAATGATAAGAAACCCTCATGTTTTCTTTTTTTTTTTTTAGATTTTTGTTTTGTTTTGTTTTAATTTTTTATTGAGAAATGGTTTATGACATGGTCTGTGACTGAGGGGCTCAAGTTCACTCCTCTTCAAGTGTCTGTTACCACACCACACCCACCTTCAGAGCCCCCATAATCCAAAGTCCGTCGGGCCCCCTCTGAGTTTTGTTTCCTCCATGCTTGGGGCACTTGAGGATATACAACATGCTTAGAAATCCATCAAAATCAAAGAAACAAAACTGTGAGGTAAAAAAAGGTTATTTGCAAATAGGATGATGGAAAAAGGCTCCAAGCAGGGATGAGCCTGAGGGCCTGAGAGGAGCAGACCTGAGTTCCAGCCAGACCAGACCCTTTTATCTCAAAAGGCAGCAGCGCCAGCAGTGCAGCCGGCTGGGGCAGGGCCTGTGGAAAGCCACTCAGCATCTCCATGACAACAGGTAGGGGCTACCCCCTGCCCCCCCCCCCCCCCCCCGCCCCGCCTTGGACAATCAGGAGGGAGACCCTCCCCCTCATTCCACAGACTCTGAGTCCAGGCAGCACAGCTCCCTGGGGAGTGAGCAAAAGTCCCACAGTTCCACAGGGAGACGATCTGGAGGTGGAATTTAAGTGGGTGTGGATCTTGAAGCAAGTGAAACTTCGAAGTCAAGTCTGACAGATTGGTGCTTTGCATAAGAGATTGGCAGTAACTTTCATGAATGAGTGAAGAAATAAATGCGTGAGTGAAGGAATGAGTGAGTGAGCGAATGGCAGGGGCCTGCCTCTACCACAGATTCATCATCTCCACCTCAAGCTTGAAGTTGGGGTTCTGTAGTTGATTCATTTTGTTATAGGACAGGGAGAGGGGCAGCCCAAGCCCCGCAAACCTGCCTATTCTAAATGGGTTCTGCCATCCGCCGCATCAACACAAAACATAGGAGACTTTAATGGGAAGGATCTTTAATAAAAACTAGGAAACAATACAGGTAAGGCAAAGAGTCTAGTTTCTAAATGAAGCACCCAAAGTTACCCGTCCCCTCGTGGGTAAAACTCCATCCATATGGGATCGGCCCAGAACAAGGCCCCAAAGCCTGCCACAAGTCTAAAGCATCTTCCAGTGGGGACCCACAGCAAAGGGTCACAAACAACCGGACAAGCCCGGAAGGAAAAGAGCAAAATCAACATCAAGATAAAAGCTGCCACTGTCACCTCCCCACGGGTCTCACCCACATCTGTGTCACCCCGTCCACGACCAAAAGACAAGCGCAGCTTCTTCACGTGTCTCTAGGCTCCATGCGCCTCCTCCAGGTCTCCTTCTGGCTCCATCCTGCTTCCTTCCTCAGTCTCTTCTGCAGCTTCTCCTCTCCCTGCTCAGCTCCACCCTCCCTTGGGTGGGGCAGGGAACCTCCCCCTTTCCTGGGACCACCCTGTTACAATTTTACCAATGACCATAATCAAGGGCCTCCTACATCCATGCCCTTTGCCCTGTTACAGGGCAGGGTGAGGGGCACTCCGGGACCCCCAAACCTGCTTGCTTTAAATGCGTTCTGCCATTTGCCACATAAAGACAAACCATAATCTAGTGCTTAAGATCTTCAATACAATACTTACTAGTCTGCGAGAAAGAGAAAGAATGTATTTAAAATGGTTTCCAATTAAATACCCATCCGCTCTTGGGCAAATGCCCAGTCAAACAGGGTTGGCCCAAAAGCTTGCTACAGTCCAAGGCACCTTCTGGTGGGGACACAAAGGAAAGGGGCAGAAGGGGCC